ACTTGTAACTATACACCTATTAAAATGAATGAAATAAAAAATTACTGACAATACCACGTGTTGACAAGGATGCAGAGGAACTGGAATGCTCATACGTTGCTAGAAGGAATTTTACAGGGCACAACCAGTATGGAAAACAATCTGTCAATGTCTTAAAAAGTTAGACACATACTATACGACCCAATAATTCTCCTGAGTATGTATTTACTCTAGAGAAATAAAAACATGTCCCTAAAAAGTAAGGATTCATAGCAGCTCTCTTTGTAATTGCTAATAACTGGAACAATTCAAACGCCCTTGAAGGAGTGAATGGATGAGCTATGGTCTAGCTATCCAAGGGAAGATTACTCTGCACTAAAAAGGAGCAGACTGTCAACATACAAAACAAGTCAAGTGCATTTTAGAAGCATTATGCTGTGTGAAAGAAGCTGGTCTCAGAGGGTACTATGTGATTCCATTCATCTGACATTCTGGAAAAACAGGGCACAGTAATAGAGAACAGGTCAGTGGTGATCAGGGCTGCGTGGAGCCTGTGATTACTTGGGGACACTTGGGAGACTTTTATGGGGGGTGATGGAACTGTTCTGGGTCCTGAATGTTGTGGTTACACGTGTGTGAAAATGGATAGACCATTTTCCACAGTGATATAAAATCTAAGAGGCGGAGTCACTACGGCGTGCATCACTGTCTTTCATTGCAAACATGTACACACAAGGAGAGAATTCTGACATGTTTTAAAGATACACCAAACACAAATGCTACGAGAAAAAATGATCGAGGACCTGGTCCCTTCTGGGTCTCTGGTAAGTAGTCAATCATCTAAGGGTTCCTTTCTGAGGTCTTACAAACAAAGCCAGTTAGCAATGTGACAACAGAGGGTAAAGAGACTTGAATTTCACCCTAATTGTCACTTCTCAGAGAGGCCTTCCCTGGCTCTCCTCCCTCGGTGGAGGGTGCATCCACCCCACCCGTCTCAGGTCCGACCAGCCCCTTCCCTGTCCCCCTGCCTCCCAGTCCCCTGAGCCGGGACCCTGCTGGCTGTCTCCTGCATCTTCCTAGCCCTGCCTGGTCCTCCCCGGGCTGCTTGCTCCCTCCAGAGCAGGGAGCATAATTGCTGCTTTCCACAGTGATATAAAATCTAAGAGGCGCAGTCACTACGGCGTGCATCGCCGTCTTTCATTGCAAACGGTAAAGGCGTACACAGCAGGGGGTGGCGGCTCGCCCGGAGCAGGTGGAGCAGGCGCAGGCGGAGCAGGCACGGCCTCCTGCCCCCAACTTGCCTCTTCTGGGGCCCCTCCAGGAGGAAGAAGGGATGCCTTCCCTACTCTGGGGAGAGGCACCCCACGTTAAAGGCCATTTGGGGAAATGGTTTTTCTCTTTCTCCTTCCAGATGTGCAAACTCAGTTTCTTTAACCCAACTCCAGAAATCCAATTTGTCCTCTCACTATTTCAAATGCTTTGTCGTGCTTCCCCTGCATCTTCCGTGCCTTCCAGACACGGAGCTCTAAGGGTGGCTTCCTGGGGGCAGAAGGACTTGTGGGGTCTTGCTTGTCACAAGCCCATGAGTTTTAAGCCCAGCCCTAGACAGCCACCTCCTTTGGGTCCAGCCCTCCCCGCGGCTTGTTTTCCTGCGTGCACAGAAACCATTCCACCCCAGCGCTCAGACTCCCGGCGACGACTTCCTCAAACTAGTCACTTAATGAATGCCATCCAATTCCGATTCCGTCTTGCCATCGCCTAATTTGTGAGAGCCAATCTGCTTTATGATTCTAACCTCTGGCTAGAAACGGCTCCCAATTTCATGTCATCCATAAACGTGATGAAGGGGTACTTGCTTCTCTGCAGTCACTCATCACTCGCTCAGCCAGCACTTAGTGAGCGCCACTGGATGCCGAGTGCTGGGTACCGTTAAAGGGACCACGTGGTGCTGGAGCGCCATGGACACGGCTGATGGCAGGTGGGTCCCCAGATCGACTGGGGCAGGGGACCAGAGCTGGCTTGTTCGGAGGATAGGAGGGGGACTGTCAGCTGGAGAAGAAATCAGGTCACAGTTCGAGGGACTGGCGTGTGCAGAGGCCGGCGGTTCTGGGGTGACAAGGAGGACATTGTTGACACATACGTGTCGGTGGCTGGTGAGCGCAGCTGGTGCCACCCGGGGCCAGGCTGCCTCTCTGGGCTCTGCTCACCTCCACGTTCGCTTCACCCTGAGAGCCCCACACCGCCGTCCGTCTCCCCGTGGCCGACTCCAGCAGGTCTTCCCCTCCTCCACAACACCATAGCTGACCCCACTGCCCTTGAACCCACAGACTTCCTCAGCCCTCGTCTGGTCTGGCCTCTGTGCAGCTTGCGGCCTTGCTCCTCCCTCCTCCTGTCTCCTGGCTGGCCTCTCCCACCACTGCTCTCGGGGCCCGTCCTACCAGGCCACCACCCTGGGGCCTTTGCACTGGCTGTTCCTCTGCCGGAATCTGCTTCCTGCTGTCCGCATGGCTGGCAGTGAGTTTCTTTATCCAGGTGGGCACCCACCCTCTCCACCTCTGAAGAAGCCTGCGCATCACCCGGCTTTAGTTCTGTCGTAGGTCAGGCCTGGTGGTGGCAGTTCTGTCATAGGTCAGGCCTGGTGGTGGCACTCATGTCCTCACTTTTCCTGCCCTCCCCGTGAATGTGCCCCCGGGTTGGGAAGCCAGAGGGGCCCTGCTCCTGTGGTTCCAGGTGAGAACAAGTGCTCCATCGTGAAGGGGGGTCGCCAGCGCTGGGTCCCGCAACAAAGCCCAAGGCAGGGTGAGGATACAGGCAGTTAATCTGGGAGGTGATGGGGGCGGAGGAGGGAGACAGACAGGGAGGTGGCTAGGGCGGTGTGTTCCCCACGGTTCCCCCAAGGCACAGGGCGTCCCCTGCAGTGCAGAGACCAGTGTGGGCCGGTGCCTCAGGGTGTCCGTCCAGGGAGAGGGAGAGAGATTCACACCAGCTCCCCTCAGCTAAGGTCGGGGCTGTTCTCGGGGCCTTTGTCATCCAGCACTTGTGGCTTACACGGACTTGGGCAGAGCAGCACCCAGATGCCGGGGAACTCTTTAGGCAGGCGTGTGGGTGCTGGTATGCGGCCAGCCAGCATCGCCTGCCATGCAGAGAAGCTCTGAAATGGGCAGAGGGGCCTGGGCATCAGGCAGACCCAAACCCAGGACCCACATGGGGGTCCGAGATCAGCATTCAGAGTTTGCTTCCTTAGGGCTGGGAAAACTTCGGCTGCAGGTAACAACCCACTCACAGAGGTAAGGACCTTGCTTACCTGACACAGCAGGAGGAGGAGAGGCTCCTCCAGGAGTGGAAAAAAGAGACTGTGGCTCTTTTTTTTTTTTTTTTTTGGGGGGTTTTTTTTTTTGGGGGCGCGCACTCGC